GTAATGGCACGCCCTTTTCGTGTCTTTAGGCCTAAACTGCACCAGGCATGATTCTTATACGATGTCACTATCGTCACAATGAGTCTTATAAAGTTTGTATTGGCCAGTTTACGAACGACCTTCTTGATGGGACATCGTTTTGCTATATTGTCTCAGTTTTGCGAGCCTTTATGAACACTAGTCTTATATCACATGGCTAAGGTAAGATCTTAACGGTCAAGTGATTCTTCATCAAGTTAAAAATCGCAACCAGGGTATCTTCGGCAGATATGAGTAGCCGGTTTATGTCTATCGATAACTTCTGTTGAACATGGGTTGTGAAACGCACCGACAGGGATGAAAATGATCAAAGATTTCATACTTTGATTCTTCCGCGTTCGCGTGACTGATTGCTAAAAGGAGAAAATTCTGCACAAATATATACACCCGTCCACTCTGCGCTGACGAAAGCCAGGAGTAATTGAATTATGCAATTTTCCAAACATTCATTAAAGTGGTTTATTTGTGGTCTAATTAACAATACAGTACTTGTGATTGCAAATAACAGAACACTTAACTATATTGTTGGCACTTATGTTCTGTTGATCAACGCCACACACAAAGCAAGCTAACAATCAAACTTTTAAAGATTGAAAGAAAACGTTTAAACGTTACAGGCAACGTCTGAACGTTGAAATCAAGTTTAATTACACTTTTGAACAAGTCGAAATCTCAAGCCATTTCAGGAACTTTTTCCTATTCTCGCGGAATGTGAACCTCTCCAAACTCTCATGTCGTTTGAGTATCTCTCATGTTTCCCAAGTGTCTTAGCGATCATGTCCGGCTTAAGCTATGTATAGTGATGAAAATCCGGGTCCAGCTTACGTAATCTGTGGCAATGAAAATCCGTTTCCTCTGCTGAAAGGAAAATCAGGTCGACTCTCAGGCGCGAGCAAATTACCACTATTGCATATATAACCATTATTATCGATAGCCTTTGTAGCTAATGCTAACACAACCTCGAAAATCGTTTTCTTCTTGAGGTATTTCTGAGTAATCTGTTTAAATAACGCTACTTAAGTCGTATATCTAGGGTTACCCCTCAGCAGCCTTGACTGGAACTGAAGAAAGCAACCCACGCTTATCTGCTACTTGCGACCGAATGACGCCAATAATACTTTAATAGTTTAGTTTGATCATGTTTTGAAAAGGTTTTGATTAACTGCGGTCCCCATGGGAAGTTCTAGTACTCGGCTATTTTCGGCGGCGATTCGACGTAGTTCCTGTAAGAGATCCGCTCAATATTTCCGGAAATCTGTTATGTTTTGAAATATCAAAGATGAAGCTTCATCAGCCATTTCTGTTCGTGTCTCTGTTTTATTTTTCGGTCAAATGTTAAAGGATTAATCTGACTATTGCATAATAAGAAAATTGCTTTTAAGAAATGCACCCACTTACACTTTCCACTGAATCTGCTTAGTGTCATTGATACCTTTAATGGTTCAGCTTGATCACGTGTTGAAAAAGTTCGGAATAACTGCGGTCATCATAGGTAGTTCTAGTACTCGGATATTTTCGGTGCTTCGACGTACTTTCTTTGAGAGGTCCGCACAATATTTCCAGAAAATTGTTATGTTTGAAATATAAAAGCCGAAACTTCGTAGTCCATCGGCTATTTTCGGTGATACGACGTAGTCTCTTGAAGAGGTCCGCACAATATTTCCAGAAAATTGTTATGTTTGAAATATAAAAGCCGAAACTTCGTAGTCCATCGGCTATTTTCGGCGATACGACGTAGTCTCTTTGAGAGGTCCGCACAATATTTCCAGAAAATAGTTATGTATGAAACATAAAAGCCGAAGCTTCATCGTCCATTTTTTTTCTTTTGCTTCATTTTCCGGTTAAGGGTCTAGGAAGTTATCTGACCATCACGTAATAGGAAAATTACATTTATTGAAGACAAAAAAAAACAAAAAAATACTCACGCGCACTATCCAATTAATCTGCTTGGTATCTGAAGCTTTTAATTATGTATTTTACCTTGAAGTAGGTAAAATCGTCAAGATATTGAGTTTTATAAGAGCACTTAGTAATTACAATTTACTAATGATGGATTTACGGTTACTAAAATTTTAGTTGTACGCAAGAGCAGCAACACAATATTTTACTCATTTGGTTAGTTTCGTTTTATTATTCAGCTTTCCCTGTTATAAACGCACAATCGCTCAGGAGAAATACACAGGTGATGATGAAACGTCAGCTCTGTAATGATGATAAGTAAAACGGCAACGAAGTGTTTTTTTCTGCGCGATAATTAAGTTTTTTTTTTCTACGTGATAGTTAAGTACTTTTCTTTTGTACTTAAGCCGGAAAAAGAAGAATACTGTAAGATCTGTTGCCCTCCCGCCTTGTTTTGTTTTACTCTCCAAAAATACCTTTTTCTGTGCATGCAAGTACCTAACCTTTGACTTTTTCAGTGGTTGAGGTATCGTCCATTTGAATTTTATTGAAAAGCCATCAATGTGTACCGGAAAGTTCCATCATATGATGATTTATCTGTTCTTGCTACGCCGGCATCTGTGTTGGTTTTCTTGGATTACTTTCACCGAATCTGTACGTAAATTCTACGTAATTAAGAGCACACGAAGACGATTTTCTGATTAACTTAGAAATAACCGTGATTAACCAGTTAGCCGTGTTTTCGCCGTTCGGCGAGGTCTGCGCACAGTGCAGCTATTTTTGTCCATGATTTTGCGAACGGAATGCTTCGTCATAGTAAATTTGACACGTGCGTGAATGGTGAGTTGTAGTAATTTTGACATGCGCGTGGATAGATAGTCACTGAATGCTATTACAGCTTTAGTATTGCGCTATTATTACTGCATTTGCTATACAACCTCATAGCTTGTTGTAAATCCTGATTTGCAATTACATAAATAACAACCCCACGTTCAGAGATCATAAAATGTTCACGTGACTTTCTTCAGCGTTGGCGTGACTGTCTTCAGGGTTAGCGTGACCCTATTTAAGTTCTTGTGACTAGTCTGTGAATCTGTTGAATCGAATCTTCAAGATTGTTGAGCCATCGTTCTGCTTCAGCGGCGGTTGCGTGAAGTCGCTAAGTTACCCTTGTTTTGATCAAACAGAGCCGCGGGGAGTATTCTTGAGAGCGTTTTTCATAAGAGGCATTAAAGGGGTTTGAACAACAATGACATCTATTAGGGAAAACAATTAATAATTCCACGTGGAAATTTTGTGTGCTTCATTTTAGAATGTTGGACCGTGTGACTGTGTCGTATGTCAAACACGTGTACGAAAGGAAAAGGACATTACTGCAACTGTACTAAGTTCTCTTGAGCCAGTTTTTCTTTTCTTTGGAATTAAATCCGTTATAACAGGGACGGTTTAAGAAAGAAAGTGTTTCATTCGTTATAACAGGGAAGGTCTAAGAACGAAAGTGTTTCACTTAAGAGCTAGAGATATGTCTCGCATGTATGTTTATAAACCACAACAATGTCTCAGGTTGTTCGATACATACCTGGAATACTTTGAATACTTTAATCAAATGCGTTTGTTTTGCAAAATGGAAAATCTCGTCGACGTCATCTGAAGTCGATAACTTGGCCTTAACTATTTTCAATGCAATTGAAATCACGAAAATCGTTTTCTCTTAGCAATTAATGTTACCCTTCCTGAGTTGCCTGTTTATGAAGTGCTTTAAGGCTGAATATTTATCTGGGGTAACGCCACTAAACAAGCGTAACCCGGCGAACTCGACATGCTGCTTGCGGTAGCGAGCGACGTCATCGTCATATTTAGATATTTCTGTTTAATCATGTTTTAAAAAGGTTTTGATTAATTGCGGTCGTCATAGGCATTTCTAGCACTTACTACACTTTGTAACGGTGTTAGAACACTTGAAATAATGAACGCTTACTTGAGTTAGCAAAGAAGCCTTGATGCCGCCGTAAACGTTTATTTCTCTGCTCAATAGACTATGAAAAATTTTAACTGTTTAAGAAACTTTTACAATCTTCTTTTTCATTATGTTATTTGATCACTTACGTTTTAGGTTAACTCTTTGAAGGGTTTGTTGGTTATCATAATGATTATCTAAACATTCTACTCAAAGGCGATAGTACTTCTCTCCGATTGGAATCAAGTGACGGGTCCGATGATAAACAGTAGAGCTATTTACAGAGGTTTGTCAAAATCTTGATTATGCGGTCGTATCATTTTTTTTCTGATGTCGTCGATTTTATTTTTTGGGAATAAGTGAATCGCTATGGAAACACTGGAAAGTAATTGGTTGAAGAATTTTGAAGGAACAATAGTTTCGTGAAGCTATTGGAAACGGAATGCATTTAATCCAACCTCCAATTGCATCAACGTAAAAGTTGTAAAGTGTGATTGCTCAGAAAGGTCATTTACGTGACTGAGCTAAGTCGATCAGAGGAACCATGCAAGGAAAAGAAAAGAGAAAGAAACACGCCCCCTTTTTTAATCCAACTTCCAGTCACGCTAACGTACTTTTAAGCTTTTGGCACAAAACGATGCAACTTTTCCTCCATCCAAATGAGATTACGAGTGAGCCACTAAGATCTGTTTTCTGTGATTATGTAAAGAGTTTCCTTATTTTAACGTAACAGCCAAACACTCGTTTGTTTATTGTGCCATGAAAACACGCGCACGCTTTCGAATACGTTCTGCTTCGTTTGACGCCAGCAGAAATACAGAGGGCACACTCGCGCAAATGAACGTGCGACTGAAATAAGTGCAATATCTTCAAGTGCCCCATACAAAACAGGAAGCTAGACCTTTCGTGACTTTACCCATGACACGCGAATTTCTTTGAATATTGTTTTTGTAAGCATGAATCATACCGATGTTAAGCTGATGACGTACTCACACGCACTGCACGTGTATATAAGTCGGTCAAAGAGGTATCGCAGTGCTTAAATGAGTTTTCGATGTCTTCAAACGTACAAAGTACAAGAGCTCTTCAGAGCCTTGCAGCAGCCATGCTTTCTTCAGCAGCATATGCTGTTCTTTGGCCGCTAACGGTAATTCGTATCACTTTAGCAATTGGCTTGATGCGAATAGCGTCTTCGATCCCTATCCTCAAAGAAAGAATCAAAAGATACAATGAGAAGTTCCTTCTAGTGCCCTATGAAGATTTCTGGCAGTCGTGGTGCAGCTGGAAAATGTTGCGCGGAGTTATGCAGTTAACTCTTGGCGACCTAAACAAAACAGCGCGACTTGGTTCTCCAGCGCCAGACTGTGAGCTGGTTTCGACAGACCAAAAAGAGTGCAGATTGCTAGATCTAGCCAGAGGGGAACGTCCATTGGTTCTTAACTTCGGCAGCTGCAGCTGACCTCCGTTCTTCATCCGTCTCAAGAACGACTTCACCAAAGTCGTTCGGGATTTTGCTGATGTTGCGGACTTTAAGGTTATTTACATCAGCGAGGCACATCCAAGTGACGGATGGAAATGGAATGTAAGTTTTGGATTTTGTTGTTGTTTTTGTTTTCGTTTTTATGCTATCTTTTGTTTTGTTTGTTTGTTTGTTTGTATAAATATATATTTAAGCGAATCTTGCAATTCATATCTAGCGTTATCGTTTGTTGTATATCAAATTTAATTATTACGAAGCATCATTTGTTACTAAATTGTGAAGACGTTTCCACGCTTGCAATTGGAGGGATGAAATACATCATGCTTTTGTTTATCACTTAAAGTAAAAGCTTGGCCGTCCCCCATTAAGGACTGAGTATCAACGGAACATTTTCGTTTATTAAAAACAAGCAACACATTGAGATTACCGTTTCTAAAGTTCGATTGAAGCTTGCGTGAGGTCAGGTGGAATTTGCTTTCCACTCTCTGCACTTTAAACATAGCTGTGAGCGACTCTTAAAAACGCAATGTTCTGAGGAAAATGCGATTTGACGTAACGAAAAACAGACTTCAGAAAGCATAGCTATTCATGGGCGCATGACGGCGGCAGATCATGTGCACCGGCATTTCAAAAAATTTGCGGTTTATTGAAGAGGAGTTATTTCACGAAAACGATTATTTGTATTGGTGTGGAATTTGATAGCCTACATGGCAAGTTTGCGCAAGGATTTTTTCATAATTAGCTTTTTTATAGCAGAACATCAAAATAAGCGCATAATGAGGTAGTTTATAGCAAGTATGATTGAAACCTCAAACATTTATTTTTGGCGTCAGAACGGCTCCCCGCAAGCAAACAAGATGCGATTAAAGTGACGTAATTCGCGATAAAAGGAAAACAATTGAAAGAGTTAATTTATTTTGCGTAATTACTCTTGAGGAAGACGAGAGAAAAAGGGAGTCAAACGCAAACTAATATGCTTTATATCAAACTGTTTGCTAGTTTTCAAAATGAAATTTGAATACTTTCTCTTTCCTGATGATAAAAGGAAGTAACACAAAATTTTATTGATAATGTATTTATACTTATGTCGTTTGGGTTATAGGGCCCATATGCCATTCAGTTTTGGCTTCCCTTCTTCAACCGAACAATAGTAGTTTAAAGTATCTGTTATGGAACTTGTTGGTCTTTTGAGTCTTCTTCACGACGCAACAATCTAGGATGCGTTATTACGTGCGGAAATGGTCATACAAAACGATTTCAATGCGTGTATTAAACGACTGATACCTTTATAATCAGCATCATTCTCTAAACTAATTGGTTCAACAGAACTGACCCGCGAAACCGGTGTCTGATGTTCTTGTCTCTCCCTTGAAATATTGTGAGCTGATCGATTAGTGGAAAACTCCAGGACTGATTAACCACGTGGTGCTGGTGGAAATGTTTGATATGTGGGATATGAATGAGTATAAGGTTGTGATTTTTTTTGAGTCAGAAGACGAGTTAGATGAACTGAAACCTTATGGATCGTGGATTTTAAGTTATTTAAGTTCCGAGTTTTAGTAGACAATGGTTTTAAGGGTATTGTCTCTCTTGCGGTTCCTTTCAGTGAAAATGATGCCATAACTCTTTCCCACAACAATAGAGCAATCGGTACCGGCAGAAACAATTTTCCACTTCGATCATCGTTAACGACTTCCTTAGTTCTCGTTGGCCCCGAAGCTATATCACGCTTTACATCTTGAAATTTCAACCTAATGCCCTATTTACTTAGCAACGTTCCCTTAGGAAGTGCGTTTTTCCTTTCGCAGTTAACTCATGAAGGGAAAACTTGGCATCAGTGCTTGCTAAGAAATGTAGACAAACCTGAGAGAAATTTCTCATTAACCCTCTACAATTTCCTTCACATTGCCCTCCCTCTTTTTGAAGAAACAATTTTCATCCTTGGCAAGTTTCCCTCGTGGATACCAAGGGAAACGTGCCAAGTCAAAAATACTAGTGTTAATTCTTGGCTTTTTCAAGGTTCTTTTCGCGATCTTCGTCTTCTGTAATCCCTCAGGGTTTTGTTTTGGTCTATTATTATCGCTGTTACCATGACATTTGAGCAGACGCATAATAGCGCAGGGCAAAGTCTGCCTCTAAAAACTAGATTCCAAAAATTTCTTGTTATCTAAGATAACTTTCAACAGGTGTTTCAGTATCACAGAATGTCTCAGTTTGTCTGACTGAAGATTTATTTATCGAACTTTTGATCTTTGGAAATAGGGATTTTTGTTAAGAAACTTACGAAAAACACTTCATCGTCGAAAACAAAGCCTTTAAAAATAGGAAGAGCATACAGAACTGTTAGTTTTATTGTAGTTTTGTTAGTAATTGTTCGTTAAACATTGGTCTGCAATTTAAACATATGCGAGAAAAACAAACAAATTCCATGTACAGTAATAGTTATGTGGAAGTACGAAAATGAACTGACTTTAAAAATTCACTCAAAACAATAAAGGTCTAAACCCAAGTTTTCTAGCATCTTGCTCAAATTGCTTTGCGATAAGCAAAATTCGGGGTCTCAAGCAGTTACACAAATATTTAAGCTTTTACTGAGTGATTTGATCATGATATGTTCAGAATCAAGAAGTTGATGATCTTTCTATCAATAAGACTTAGTAAGATGTTGACATTGAATCAATGAAGATATCACATTGGTGATTTAGAACGAACAGTCAAACAGAACGTTTGTTCTCGAGTGCTTTTACTTACGGGCCAAAAAAAACTCTGATCAAATTTCACCAACACCTTCTTAAACGAATATCACTAATCGCATTTTTAAAATGCAAGGGGTGGCAGAATCGTGTCTGGTTTACCCACATAAACCACATCATGATTTATTTCAATCCTCACATTTGTCTTTGCCAAAATTTACCGCCAAATTACCGACTGTAAGCCACAGTGCATTTTGCCGCCTCAGACTGTAATTTTTTGTGGTTCTCTATCGTTATCAAACAGTATAAAGACCTCCTCAGAACAGCAAACAGCAACAAAAAAGTTTAAAAGAGTGCTACCCCTCCGTCAGGATGTCTATAACCTTTTATTTTTGGTGATGTTTGCTTCAATTTAGCTGCGATTCTTAAATTATGGAATCGTTATTTAGTTGCATGACGGCTTCAAGCGAAAAAAAAGCAAACTGCCCGAAGCTATGGGAACATGCGATTTGCCAAGTCACGATTGATTTGACTTTTTCACCTGATTGGTTGAGAGGAACGCACGATTTTTTTTAAGCCCATCACTGGGCGCGTTGAAGCAAACCAGAGCGATCCCGTATTAATTCTTTCATTGTTCACACAAAGCTTTCTGTTTGTAAAAGTTTTAGTTTGTTTTAAAATACACTTTTTTGCATCTTTAGAACAATGTTGAAATTGCTCAGCATAAATGCTTGAAAGATCGATTTGCTGCTGCAGAAATCTTAAAGTCCAGCGGTTGTCCTGCCCCTGTTATAGTGGACACCATGAAGAATGAAGCTTCCATGGCGTATGGCGCGTGGCCCGAGAGACTGTTTATTATACAACAAGGCAAAATAGTTTACGAAGGGGGCACGGGTCCGTACAATTACGACTTGACGGAGGTGCAACGCTGGCTGGAGGAGTACAAAGCTGAAATAATATAGTATTGTGTAATGTAAAAAGAAAGTTTGTTAGACGTTAAAAGGGCCACGTTACAGTTTAGGCATCTTGAACAATTTCAATTTTCATGCTAGCTACTCTTGTTCCGTCTTAGTTTGTTAATATAATATACCTCTATCATATTTGTTAGCCTCATGGTGATAACATTTAGCGGACAAGTTCAAACTGAAGTTGGCTTGGCTGGAGACGAAAATGACTCGAAGATTAAAATTGCAACGTGGCTCTTTTAACTTTTGTTAAATTAATACGGCATATATTTATATTATTTACTATGTTATTTATTACCGTTCGTTCAAATTCCGAGCTTTGTGAAAGTTCCATATTTATTCATATTTAAGAGGAGCGTATATAATGAAAAGAAGCCCTCGTTTAGTTAATAATTTTGTTCATATAACTGATATTACGTCCAGAAATTCGACCACTGTTTTTTACAAGGTACGATTATCATGCACCCATGTCGTTGTTATTTTTGTCTGTGGTTATCGTGTAACGAATGAAAGCTGACGATATAAACCTCACTCGAGGGTTCATCAGCTGGATGTATTTGCTCGTTTAACAGAATGGCAGAAGTACGATAGTTGGAGTAATGACATAAAACACTTGAAAGCAGTCTTCCTTTGTTTTTGTTGTGGTTTTTGATGATGTATGATACAACTGTTGCTGTTGAGCCGATGATGGTATCGAGGAAAAATGAAGATTGAATGTATTTAAGCCAGGTAAATGTTGCATCCCCTTTGCAATTTAACCCAAAGAGGTACATAACATCACCCTGAATAGCGTTTTAGTGGTTTATTGTGTCTCTATATCAGTGGTTTTGAAGGCCTTTACCCAACCAAAGTGGAATCAGTAACATAAAGTGACACTGAAATGAAAATATGGCTGGATGATAATTATTATTATGGTATATTATTTTCCTGAAGCTTTTACATATCTATCCAAATTAGTTTGTCTTGTTTTGGGTTTTTTTTTAGTAAACATTCATGTCCAGCTGACACACTAGGTCTGTCAGCAGAAATTAAGGCATTCTGTTAGTTTAGATCCACCATAGCTGGCCGCCGGATAATTTAAGGAGGCTTTGCAGTTAATGCAGTTCAATGATCTGGTACAGAGGATACCGAACTTGAAGGCCGTCCTTCATCCGAACTCGAGGTAAATTCGGAGAATTCCGCTTTCTCTGTCCTTTTTATGATAAGAGAAATGTTTAAATTGTTTATATATCAATTTCGGGGTAGTCTCCTCGCAGTATCTGCTTGGTCTCGATAAAACCGAAAACGATTGTGAAGGAGACTGACTTCAAGCAGGCACCTCCAAGGTATTGAGACAGAATATTTAAAATTATAATTTTAACAACTTTTGGTACCACACGTGTAGAACGTGCACTTCCAATGCTGAACCTGCATTTAAAGCTTCCGATTTGGTAAAAGTGACTTGTTCATTAACGCAAGATGGTGCACTCATTACCTTGCAAAATCTACTTCCCCCGTCCCACCCTCCCGCGGGATCGATTTTTTCCCTCGGCTACTAGGATAGAGTAAAAACAAGTGTTTTCCGTCTGTTAAGTCGTCGCGGTAATCTGATGCTTCAAGAACAGGTAAACACCTTAACTTGTATAATGATAAATAGGACTTTCTAGGTTGCCATTGATGAGCAAGTAGCGAAAACTCGTCGCCGTAATGTTTCATAACAGGACATGTGCTTGGAGACATGAAATCCGTCTTAAGCCTCTTCACAAAACGCGGTATTCTTTCATTCGGAATTATTAGCGGTTCTTTGTGATCTTCGTAAACCTATTAACACTAATCGGAGTAAATTATATCGATTGCTATGGATGCCTGCGCAAGCTCATTGCGTGCTTTAATTAACTGCAAAGAATCTGCCCGTCCAGTGAAATCTTCAAGGTCACCATATCATCTTCAATGACTTATCAGCCGATGAAATATGGCCGAACACAACTCCACAGTTAGGTTTTCATTCCATATGCGTAAGGAACTGATACAATGTATTACTTCGGTGCTAAGTAGGTATAAAAGTGCTAACCACGGCTCAAATAGTCGAGTTTCCAAAATTCAAATGGTCATCCAAAGGGTCTGAAACGGGGTATGGTATCAAGTTAATATCTCTGAGCAAAGTCAGGTGTGCGTTCCGCACGGGCCAGAAATACAATAATTTCCTGTGTAGCAATTGTAATTACATCGTTGCGGTCGCCATGTCTTTCTGACGACTTGATTTTTTTTCTGAAATGCTATCTTCAGTAATGTCGAGATTGCATCAAACACTGAGCAGAACTTTCTTCCAAGATCAGCAACCGGTTGATTTTCTGACACGTGCTGATTAATGGACGTACTTAAAGAATTTGTCAGATTTTAAGAAGCCTAATGCCGGGTATTTCCTTTTATTTAACAGTCTTCGAGCAGATATAGTTCATTGCTAAAACGCTGTTAAAAAGGCTATGGTGTTTATCACGATTTGAACTTGGCGTACGATGAAGAGTTCTCTCTGTTAGCAATTATGGGCTGTTATGATACAGGACTAGATTGTTTGTTTAGTTCTTTTGTTTCCATTGCTCATATGCTGTTGTTTTTCTTCTCCAAAGACTAAAAACCTGACTGAAGCCGGTAATTTTCGTTTTATTTCAACAAAACATGATCACTAGGCAGGAGGTTACGATAAGCTAAGTGTTGCTTCCATAATGGATACACTCTTTCAGCGAAAATTGTTCGAGAAACGCGATACTTGCTGGCGACATCAGAATCAGAAAGTAGAGATTTTATGACCTTCTTATCTTCAGTTAATCCCTGATACGAATAAAAATGAATGAAAACCACAGAGCATACACAAAAATTCTTAAACTTGAGTGGTTTCGCTTGCAGTTTAGGATTATGAGGATTTATCGGATAAACAAATCCCTAAATCTAATTCCGTTAATTGCATTTTTAGAATCGCAAGATACGACAGTAACGCATAAGCTTTTTGATTTATGACAGAAGCTATATGAAGTTATTTATCGGTTTTCGCCAGATCGGGCATTTATCCTTGATAAGAAAACCGATGACAAATTTTTATGGCTTTAATCAAAGGAATTCCCAGCGATTAAAACGGAAAATTACTGTAAAATTGAACTAATATCGCTGATGACAGCTATACCTCTGGTACGTAATTCGGTCTATAACTGTTGTTCCGTTTTCCAATAAGCACAGTCATTCATTTGTGTGTTCGTTCATCTTTTCCTTCAACCATTGCTATTTTGATCCGTTTTCCTACTTTCTACCTTGTTTTCATTCAGTCATTCATACCTGAGCCATAGATTCTCTCATGAATTCTAAAATTGTCGCTCAGATTCGATAAAGGCTTTCAAATGCAGGTATATTTGTCTCAGAGAGGGTAGGTCAGTAAGAATCTTGAAGCTCTATACGCATGGTTTATTCTTGAGTGGGAAAATTGAAGTCTTACTCAGGAAGCTTATTCGAGGAGAGGGGACTAGTTAGAAACTTGAAGCTCTACACAGGTGGGGGGGGGCTCATAAGAGAGAGAGGGAGGGGTAGTTGGTCAGAAACTATCAGAGTAGTGGATTTAGAAGAGGGAAGCTGATTTCTCACTTTTCCATTGAAAAAAAAAGGATGTTTCTATCGCGCTCAGAAAACTAAGCAAGACGTACCTGACCACATGGCTTAGCACGTTAACTGAATTAACAACTTATATTCAATTTCAGAGTCAAATTACGGATAAACAACACAACTTCCGAGTAAGTTAAGGAGCTTTCACTGATATAATGGAGATTTGTCAGACAATTTACCGCGCGACATTGATGAGTATTTTTTTACTTGTGTTTTGGTGGTCGTATGCCTCATTGTCTCTCTCTCTCTTTCTTGTCGTTACAAACGTGCCTTTCTTTTATCGAGAGATGACATTCGAATAGAGATTCAGTTTTTCTTGATGGAACACAAAGCATCTTTCTTGAAAACATTATTGGTTACCAATGTTTACCACAACAGTTACATATGCTTGATGTTCTGAAACCTGGGTCTTTGTGGTTTTCCGGTTTGCAGTCTGTGAGATTAGGATCAAAGACGTAATTTTTTAACGTCATAAATGATAAAAAGGTGAGGTTGTAGCATTTACATAGCTTATAATTAAGGTCCGTTCTCTTTTGTAAACGAGCACGACCGCCTCTGTACAGGAAATAAAGTCGTGTTTAATTTATGTTTGATTCACGGGCTAAAGAAAGGAGCGGCCGTAAAGCTCTACTAAATCGGAACACTTAATTTACTTTAAAATTGCGTATCCTCTTGAAAGTAAGTTAAGAAGGCGAGTTTCCAAAAATGTCCAACTTTTACGAAGTCGTCTGAAGTGGAAACGACATATAGTCACTCGTGCACGGTACCAAAATAACAACTAACAACAGGGTCAGTTTGAGGGTGTGGCTTTAAGTTATTCCCGAAGCCAAAAAGAACCACATTACTAATTGATATCAGTAATCTCCCATAAGAATATCAACTGCTTGAAATTGCTTGTGAAAGGTAACACTGGTCATGCATATCTATTTACCTTTTTTTCAAGTACACCTAGTATGTTCAAACTGTCTGTCTGGGCAACCAATGTGAACGTGAGTGCTACCGCAAAAAAAAAAAAACAGTGTTTGACCGATGATAGAACGGCAGGATTCTTTCTCCACTTTGAACACCACTCTTTTGATTGTAGCATTCCAGAGACGTCGACATGATACACTTACAATGATAATGAAGAAATGTAAACGTGTCATTCGTTCAGATCTTGTTAAGTGATGATCTTTATTGATTACAGTGACCTTTCTCACAGAGGTTATCAACAGTAATTTCCGCATATCAATATCTATGGTCACTTCACCAATCAACACCGAAAGAAAAAAAAGGGTCATCATGATTTTTTTCCTTCGTCTGTTCAAACGTATATCAACCCAATTGCTCTGACGAAGGGCTAACGCTCAAAACGTCAGCCTTTATACTCTATGCGGTGGCCAATTTACGTTTTCAACTCAGTTGATATCACTATATTGCCCTGTTATACTCTCCCAGCGAAGCAGTACCACAGTTGCCTTTGTTCCTTAACAAGGAGAGAACAGGTTACCCAGTCGTTTTTACTTATATACCTCATAGATTGATTAATGATTCATTAGCTTTTATTCGTTATGTGGGTATGTCTGTGTCCACTTAGTGACGAACATCGATGGAAATTTCCGATCGGACATTAGTAAATTTTAAAATTCTTTACCTTCATTCCGTTGTTTCTTACAACACTTCAGGAGACAGTTAGACATAACCATTCGGCTATCTTAATATTCTATATCTTTTTGCATCAAAAAAGGTCTTATTTGAGAATTTTTTGCACCATCTCGTTGCCTGATCTATTTTGTTGCCATCCGCAATGTTATCTTCAAAGTCTATGGTTACATAGCCCCCCTCACCACAACAAGGCTCCATTTTACCGGCCTAGCGGTAATTTCAGCCGGGGGTTGCTATCCTAAGATCACTAGTTGTTTAAGCCCTGTTGAAATTGTTGTCGCTTTTAAAACTAAATAAATGTGTCGATCAAGTCGATGAGAAAATTGCGGAAAACTTGCTTTTACTCTTCCCTTCAGAGCTGTTTATTACTTTTATTGCATTACAGTTGAAATTTGACCTTTCTGCTTCACATCCTCTGTCAGTAGGTTTTGTGGAAACATGAGGGTTGAGCTATTTTGAGAATGTGTCCATTTTGATCCCATTTATTTCCTCCGGGAAACAGGGAAAATATATGTTCAACTTTCTGAACGTCTAATTTTTATAATTCAGAGTTGATATGTAAGTGTAAACAGTTTAGCAGCATAGTTGTGACTTGTTTTCTTCTCATTTAAAAAGAGATCTCGATGTTTGAGGTCACACAAACGGTGTGACCTTCATATTTGTGTTAGAGGAAATATATGGCATATGCCGAGAATTCTTATTCTGTCGCACTAAATTCCGAGGAATATTCTCGATTATAAACAAAATAAACTTACCTTGAATGTTGTACATAGTCGTTTCTTTGGCTAAAACCACGAATTTTCAATTATGCGCCAAGATGAGTGTCCGTTGACGAACCCTTTAAAATGTTCAAAGTCATATACTGTGTTTGAGTCAAACAGACTGAACTGTTAAAGATCGTTTGTCTGCTTAATGCACGATTCCTTTGTTCTGTGGTTATTGTTTACGATCCATTGTTATACCCTCTTGAATCACGAATTTGCTCATTTAGTTTTATGATGACCCAAGTCAAAGAAGATGCATCAAACCTTTCTCTTCACGTAGGCCGAGATGAATTGCTGTACTATATTGATGCTTTGTTACGTTAAACGATGAGTTCATTACTTAGCAGCTTACTCTTAAACATTCAATACGTTCGTCTAAACAACTTAATTAACAATACATTCGAGCAGTTAAATGAGTAGTCATGTATAAAATCACTGATTTTTGTCGTTTTATCATCGAAGTTAGGACGGTTCGACCTCTTCAAATCTTCAGGTCTGTTGCACTTTATCAGAATTGACGTCAGTATGAGTCGTTGTCACATTTTCCTCAAGAGGTGAATCTAATTAAGCTGAAGGTTGTAATACTTATTCCTAATTTTCAAAATGTCTTTTAACGGGAATCACTAAATGGAGAGGTAAAATCTGTGGATTGGATTATAGTTGATGTAACGGTTTTGACCGGTTAAGTCCCTCAGCTTAAAGACACCACTTGAAAACAACGCCCTACACTAATAGTAAGAAATACGATAGACATGACCCTCTGGCTGTACAACGCGGCCAGAAATTAACTCTGTTCCCGCTGAGATGTAACTGTCCTGCGGAGACTTTCAAATCCAATTTTTGCTTTGTTGATAGTTGTAAAAAGTGTTTCATCGTGAGGAAAGGAAACCCGAATATTCCGTGACTCCCACAGCGATAGTTCAAACATTCAACGCGAAAATTGATGACAAACATCCCAAAAATGCTGATTGTTCAATCATTTTCTAGGGTTCACTGCGGTCATTGGGAATCACTCTTATCGCTTCTGTCGAGTCTGCAACTTCAGAGCGAAGACGGCTTTTAACGCGCCAACGTGAAAATGTTGGCCGAGTTGGGCCATAACATCTTGCTGAGCTTAACAGCTCTACAAGCCACAATTCTGGTCATATTGTTGAGAATCGGCTCCTCCATTCCCTATGTCAAAGAACGCATCCAGAAATTCGAAGAGCGCAATCTTCTGGTACCTTACCAAAATTTTTGGGATGAATACGGCGGAAAGAAAATGCTCGGATGCGTCTTAAAGATAATGTTAGGAGATGTGAACAAGACTGCCCGCTTGGGTAATCTAGCACCAAATTGCCGGCTTATTTCAACTGATGGTAAAGAGTGCAGGCTACTGGATTTCGCTAAAGGCACGCGCCCACTGGTTCTGAATTTTGGCAGCTGTAGCTGACCCCCATTTTTCATTAACTTTCTGAACAACTTCGCCAAAGTTGTTCATGATTATGACGACGAAGTGGATTTCCTTACTGTTTACATCCTCGAGGCTCATCCAACCGATGGCTGGCGCTGGAATGTAAGTTTGTATTTGTTTTTTGATCGCGTGTTTATGCAGTAGTTTACTTAAGGAGTAAAAGTTGATGCGTTCCTCTTTTGTAGCGCACCTGTTTTTCAGGTTCTTACGACTCATCTTGAATATCCAGCCATTTCTAATATTCAACCTCATTGATTATTGACAAGCCGCTACTTCAGCAGAAAAAGAATTGCTCTCTAGAAAGTTTCATAATTCAGGAAAATTTTTGTTTTCCTGTGTGTATAAACAGTCACTGCTTTGATTGAAAACATTTTCGAAAGTTCGGTTCGCCAACTTTACGTTATGGTCGGATTCCCTTCCTCGAGGGAAAGAATTTCAGGATGATAGGACTTGAATAGCTTTTATGTAATCATCATTTATCGAGAAAAATAAAACGTATTGCTCATATGCCCGAGGCAATCAAACCAAAACACGTGATTAAGTCAGTTTGTAGAATAGTAATGAGATACTTTAATTTCTGTTGCATGCATAATTTTACGATGAAGCGATCAACAGATAAAGCCGAGGAAGACTCGGTCGAGGTCAAACGAATCACAGAATTGTAAAACCAGCTCACTCAAAGCCTTAAGGAGAAAGTAGCGTTGATTTGTCATTCTAACTTTTGCAATTGTTTTACTGAATCATGTTGTAATGCCATTCAAATAAAGCCTAGTGTAGGCTTGATTTCCGGTGATATTTTTTCTCTATTCCCACAGAATAATGTCGAAATCCCTCAACACAAGAGTTTAGAAGATCGTCTTGCTGCGGCGGAAATGTTGAAAAAATCAAGTCGATGCTCTGTTCCAATCATGGTCGATGCGTTTGAGAACGAAGCTTCGAAAGCTTATGGCGCGTGGCCTGAGAGACTGTTCATTATACAAGACGGAAAAATAGTATACGAAGGGGGAACGGGTCCGTACAATTACAAAATAACAGAGGTGCAAAGCTGGTTGGAGAAGTACAAAGCGAGACTGTAGAGTGCTGCTAATTCGGTTATTAACTGTTAAAAAACGAACAAACAAAAGAAACACTTTTAAACATTGTCGCACTTTTAAACGTTCGTGTTCTCCCAAGACCGGGTTTTTTAGTTCAGTCACATGACTTATGTAATCTGTGTCCTATGTTTCTCGTCTGACCCTGTCAACGTTTCACGAATGACAGCCTCAGGGGTAAGCCTGCCCAAATTGTGGGTCCCTGTGGCTCGAAGATGAAAATGCTGGCTTCACGGATAAGAAATGGAGGGAAAAGTGGACGTGGCAACTCCCAAAGTATGGTGCTACATACGTCATGTGATCTAAACTGTTTAACCATACTCTAAAGTAACTGTTACGTAGTTTTACTGATGAGACGTACATTGTAAATCTGTGTAATTGGCTCCTACTGAGAACGTATGTTGTAGTTTGCAGTAGCGTTACTATTACCAAACAACATCAACCTTCAAATCACATCAAAAAAACGAAAAATGATTCCAATTGAATTCCGCTGTGCAAGTTAGTTCTTAGTGAAAAGCAAGCAAAAATGACAACGAATTTAGACGGAATCCATTGATTGTTTCCTGTAATCGAAATTTTTTTTCCCTTTTTGTAAGCTACCCCAACAATAGTTATCGGACGATAAACCATGAAGACTAACCTTTCAGAATAAAAAGTGTCCAAATTAGGATAAAAAATAAAATAAAATAAAAACAGAAATAACCTTAATGTGTTGAAATGAAATTAAAAGATATTTGTGTTAATCTTCGTCTTTGTTTCACATTTCGGGCGCTTTTTCTTACGTAGGCCCAACGGCTTTCATCTTTTAATGCTATGACTGACCCGAACGAAATTTCTCCTCACGATATCAGTAATAATACCAAGCAGACAAGTGATGAGAATAAAGAAAAACACCAATTAGGAGATTATTAGTTGATCCGATAACAAATTCTTCGAATTGACACAAAGGGAATTGTATCTCTGACAGTAAGGAGAATTACTAATGAGATCTTGGGAGAGAAAGGGTTAAATAGCTTGTGTCAATTGCGTTAACCAGCTCTTGACCGTGGTCTTTAAACTGTTGCGAACATGCTAGATATTTCCGTTTGTTGCGTACATACTTTAAACGATTTTGTCGCTATGACGAAACTGTTTCATTACCAAGGGGCTTATATTCGTGACATGTACGATTTTCTTTGCAGCCTTTCATAGAAAAATGCTAGTTGCTTTTGCTGTCTACGATCGAATGATAGCAATAAAGAAGAATAATAGAGAACCAAACAATACAAGCGCAAGCTATAGCCTTAACATGCAGACTTGGGAGCGATTGGATTACGTTGCCTACACCAACAAGATTGCAACATTGTGGTTTGTTACACTAGGCTTACATCGTTGACATCTTGTTTCTTGTTCACGCCACGCCGTGCCATTCCCATTGTTCGACCTAACCGAAACCGGCTTAATTGAAACAAGTCGAGATCACCGTCGAGCGTCATGAAAGCTGGCGTCAGTTCGAATCGTAAAAGCGAAAAAAAAAAAAAGGTACTGAGTGATTTAAGAAACAAGTCTCTGTCGGGGTAAACCAAAAGCACTTTGGAAGTTTTCGCCGACATACATTTATTTCCTCGATATTAAAGACTTGGTTATTAAATCTGGGTTCGATTCATTTGAGCTCCAGCTTTACTGGCTTGTAAAACTACTGAGAGGGAAAACTGAAAACAGTTTAACAACCCAAAAATGATTTAGCTTCATCAACTGAGTTGATGATGTTAATTGGCCACCGTAAAGAGTCTCTAAAGCTGACGTTTCGAGCGTTAGCCGTTCGTCAGAGCGAACACGAAGGGGTAGCACTCGAAAACCCCCACTAACGCAGCACCACAGTTCCTATAAAAACTATAATAATTTCGAGTTGGAGGTACTACAATTGTTATCCAGAGACGGAGAGAGTATAACGATAAAACGTGTTCTGAAATGTTGACCTCTTTCAATATTTGGTTGTTGTGAAGTATTTTGGTGTGTTTATGTTTTTTTAAGGTTACCATTGTGATAATCGAAGCCCGCACCTAGAGTTTCCTGCTTGTCGTCTGTTTTGTCTCGTTGTCTGACTATTTTCTTACCTAAATTGGAGATATTTTTCACTTAAGTGTGATTTCTTTTCAAACCGTTTAAATTTAACTGATTATTGTGTGGTCCTTATGTAAGTCACATGCCAAGTGTTCGCAGGACCGAAGATGTAGTTTGTACCTTTGAGGAGCGGTTTATACATCTTATCTATCAAACATTGATCACTTCCTTCCGGGTGGTCAGTCTTATCTGGGTTTGTGTACTGACCTTGGTTCGGACCGACACCAAAGTTCCTGTTTTGATTTTGGCTTTCAAAGAATGGCTTTTTGTTTGGAAAATATCTAGTATTTTGTTGTTTAATTCAGTCCACAACTTACATGAAAGTATTTGGGTCAGTTCTCTAACTTAGAGGTTTAATCCTCCAAAGTCAGTCGGCCCTTAACCCAAACACGCTCGCCAATAGAGTACTTAAGGGCATGTAACGGAGTCTTGGTGCCTCTCGGTAGCACAGGTCTTATCAGAAAATAGTTTCCCTCGTCACTGCGTCGTAACATATTTGGTGGAGACCCGAGCTGGATTCCCCCGTTCGGCGGCTTTGAGCCAGAATCTTCAAACCGATAGTACACCTCCTAAGCCGTGTAGACCCTTCAACAACCAACCTATGACTTGCAAACATTAATATCAAGGTTATGACTGAATGAAGATAACACTAGATTGTTTTCCTAAATAAAGTAATGTTAGACACGTAGCGTGGGATACCACAAAATTCGCGCGATATCGCGCGTTGCCGCGAAATTCATCGTGACGGACGAAGACTGGAAAAAAAATGAGAGAGAACAACATGGCGGCTGATGCGAAAAATGACGTTGGAAGCAAGATTGGCTGTAGTTTGTGTCCAGAACCTGTACGTCATTGGTACTTTTAGCCTCATATGGGTTTATAAACTTGTGATCCCTTACTGAGTGGTTCGAAAATTTGAGGGAAATGGCTGAAGTTGGTTTAAAACGCTGGGAATGGTGAATGTTTATGCCCCCACGTGTCACTTGGAATACATGTTACTAGTGGTTACAGAAGAGCGATCTTCAACTTGCAAGAGTTCAGGTAAACTATTCTCACATTCTTTCCCTGCTGTTTTCAGTTCTGGACAATTTTCTGTTTGACCCCATACTCCATCATGCATACAGTTCTTGGATGAAAGAAACAATGACCAAAACAATCGGTTGCCTTTGGGACTGCGGTTTTATTTTGGAGTAGTATGGGTTTATACGGATATCTCTCCCAGTTCTATATTCTAGACAGGTAGCTTAAGACCTTGTCAACTCTTCTTGATGTTCTATACCTGTCAACCTTAATAGAGTCTAATGCGTGAGATTTTCGTCTCCTTATGACCGGAATTTCCGAAAATGATCCAGCGACTTCCGATGATTTCTCAAACTCAACATCAAGTGTCGGAACATTTTCGGGAAAATTGAATTGAATGTGGATTAAAATAGAATGTGTAGCAGCTGGAGGAGAGAATTGACAGTGATATATTGGGAGCTGATGGGTTTAAAATACACTTACCTCCATGAAATAAATAGATGGGAGATCATCATCTTATTTAACTACTTTGCTTCAAAATAGTTTTAATCTTTTATAAAGCAATATTCTGCTTTTGGTAGTTTAATGAGATAACAGGTGCAAAAAGTATTTTTTTTAACCAGTGAGAGAACTGTGCTCTACACTTGTTCCATTTTTTTGAAATTTCCAATTTTGGAGACTAAAATTGCCTCTTTCCACTGTAATGTACATGAGAGGGTGTCACATGCCATAATCAATCATAGAAAATTTTTCCAATCAGAATATGTGTTCTTAATTTTCATGAGATCTCCAAATACTAGACAGTCAGCTGTCACAAATCAGTATGGTTATTTTACTTCCTTTAGTATTACCAACTTGATTAAAGTATATCAGAGGATGGTACACAGATGCAATCAACATGTACCTCTGAGTGAAAATTGATAGATTAACAAGTGGTCAAATTATCATATGTAGTGATGTCCTTTCCCAATGAACTATGATTTCCCATGAAAGACCACATTAATAATGATAAATGGGTGTAACACAACAAGGTTAATTTGATTGCAAATGTTAGTGAGACTGGAAACTCTGTCAGATTTCTCCAATGTCCTTCACTACAGAAAGAAAAGAGTCAGTTATAGTCTATGTGTTTATTATTAATCTAAACACAAAGTTGGTCTACCTGTCAGTAATTCAGTCAACAAATGACACCATGTTCCCACAAAAAGTGTGGCTCCAATTTTTCTGGGTAGAAACAACACAACCCACAGTTCCTCTATTTATTCAGATTAAGGGCTAGCACTTGAAACATCAGCTTTAGAAAATCTGAAGCACAATAGAAAACTTGAGAAACTTACCCTCTTGACTATATGATTGTATTACAGCTGTAGGCAGACAGACTTTATGATAGAATTACTGATCAGCTGACTGACTGTAAGTTTGGATTACTGATTAACTACCAACTGATTAACTCTTTGTATGAGTTATGATTGACTGTACAACTGAATGACTGTTGGAATTATTTAGTTAATGACTCAATAACTATTGACTGACTGACTGACTGAGTTACACATGGATTGTATGACTCACAGACTGATTGACTGACTATATGTATGGTTGGATGACTAAATGACTGACTGACCCACTGATGGCTGACTGATTGCCTAAGGGCCTTTCCACACTGATGAAAAAGTTGTTTATTTAGAAAAATTTTCTGTCATTCCCAACATTTACAAGTGCAGATGGTTTGTCATGACTTGGTAAAACTGGACAAAATCAACTAAATAAACAAAACAATGATAAACTTCTCAATTATTTGTTACAACCAGAGTGCAATTAAACTGAAATCAGTTTACTAGAGAGGCAAAAATTGCCTTATGTTGCAAAATTCGGGGACTCTAAAATGTTTAAAAGACTTTGGATAAATCCTGGAAATTAAAGGTGGAATCCTTTGGCAAGCTATGCTGGCTGGTCTTATGAATAGATCAGGTGCTGACAGAATTTGACAGCTTTGAAATTTTTAATGCAGATGGAACAGACAAAACAAAAATTTGTCATGAAAAAATTTGTCTTTTTATTTTGTCAGGACAATTTTAGTTTTGTCTGCCAGTGCAGAAAGGCCCTAACTGACTTACTGACTGTATGATGGCAAGACTAAATGACTGACTGACTTACTGTGTGACTAACTGATGACTGATTGACGCACAGACTGACTGTATGAATGAAGACTAAATGTCTTGATTGTCAAACTCATTGGCTGACTGACTCGCTGAATATTTAATGGTATGACTGTCTGATTGAGTGTCCAATGTCAGTCTACCTGACAATCAATATGAAGGGAGTATAGCTCCCTTTTAGTTCATTCTACTCTTGGATAGGAATTGCAAATTGTGGTGTGACTGAAATTTTTACAGCATAAGGCAACCCAGTGCAAAGGTTAAGCCCATTTTCCCCACTAAAACAAGAGTCTACAGTATTTTTAACATCTGTGTTTTGCTGCTAACAATAAATTGTTATCATTTGTAGATATAGATGTACATGTATGCCACCCCAAAGTAAGCAATTATTGTGAGTCACAAAAAACTTTTAAAAAAATACAAAT